CCCTGCCGGGGGCAGGGAGCCGGGAGCCAGAGAACTCCAGTGAGGAGACACCCTGCCCTGCTCCAGCGGGAAGTCCTCGCACACACACACACAGGTGAGCGCGCCAAAACGTAACCTTTTACTGAAAAATAACTCTGTTTCTCTACAGGCCACGGCACACACGAATGGGGCCAGGATCCAGGCCCGGGGGTGAGCGCTTGCCCCGTTACCTGTAGATGTCACACTCTGAAAGACAGATCTCCTCGTCGACAGCATCCCACAGATGTGGCTTCAGGGCGTTGAAATCTTCCCGAACGGCAGAAAAGAGGCTGCAGTTGCCAGCGTTCACCACCTAGAGAGACCGGGCAGGGCCCGTGAGAGGAGCAGAAGAGCCGCCGCCTGCCCTCCTGCCCACCACCTCCCTCCCTCACTCCACGCGGCTCATCCTCCCCGTCCCTCCTCCATCGAGAGGAGACGCCGGAGCCTGGCAATGACCACCAAAAAGGTGGAGAAGCAAGACGGCCAGGCACTGCTGTGCTAGTTCAGGGCCCCGAGGTGGAAGCAAGGAGACAGGCAGCAGGGAAGCAACACGGCTGGAGAGGGAAAACCAATCAGAGGATCTCCGGGGCACACGCAGCCCAAGTCTCTCCCAACAAAGAGCGCAGTGGCTTCCTCGAAGGAAGGAAACAAGGAAAACTTTCCCGGTCGGAGAGGACGCTTCCTGCTCCATCTGCCTCCTTGACAAGGGCAGCCTTGCCGGACCCCGACAGCCAGGAGACAGACAGACAGACAGAGGCTCCGGCACCTGCCGGGAGGGACAGCGCGCTCAGAGCGGAACCCGGGAGGCCCTGCAGAGCCACCCCTCTGTTGGGTGCGAGGTAAAGCAGCGTCCGGCCACCAGCACTACAGGCACAGGGATGAAAGCACCGGGCAGCAGACCGGGAAGTCCTCTGCAGGAAGGACTCAAGCCACCGACGCTTCCCTCACCCTTCCTTCCTCCAAATACCTGCCCCGGGAAAGAGCAGCCTAACCAAGGCTGGCATGGAAAGCCCCGCTCACGAGAGGCCGTTCCCAAAGAAGAGTGAAGAGCAAGGTTGCTGCTGCTGAAGGAAAACACCCCAGGACGGCTGTTGGAAAAGACACCCCACAAACCTCTTCCTGGGAAGGATGAGGACTGCCTCATCCTAGGGCGGACGCTGCCGGAGGAGGGAGCGAGGCATGCCCTGGGATCACAGCAGCGCCGTGGGGCTCCCCGGAGAACCAGACACTCCCCCACCAGATCCACGCTGCCTTCTCTTCCAGGACAGAAGCAAGCAGCACGGCGGGCCTCCCGAGCAGGGGTGCAGGACCTGCCCTGCCTCAGGGCACTTCGCTCACGTACCCAGTTGAGGCTTGGCTCCCGGCTGAACTCGTGGCTCTTGGCAGCGCTGAAGTCGTAGTCTGGGCGGAAGGACTCGTTGAGCGTTGCTATCAGGTAGAAGAGGGTCTTGCGGCTGCACTTGTCGCTCAGGGGTCCCTCCTCATCACCGCTCTGACTTTTACTGAGCCTGAGAGGCAGAACGGCAGGGTTAGCGGTGTCACCGGCACGGCCTGGGCCAACACTGAATACGAGCCGGCAGTGTGCCCAGGTGGCCAAGGCAGCCCAGAGCACCCTGGCCTGTATCAGAAATAGTGTGGCCAGCAGGAGCGGGGCACTGATCGTGCCCCTGTACTCGGCACTGGTGAGGCCGCCCCTCGAACACTGTGTTCAGTTTTGGGCCCCTCACGACAAGAAGGACGTTGAGGGGCTGGAGCGTGTCCAGAGAAGGGCAACGAGGCTGGGG